CTCTCTCTCTCTCTCTCCTCTCTCTCTCTCCTCTCTCTCTCTCTCTCTCTCTCTCTCCTCCTCTCTCTCTCCTCTCTCCCTCTCCTCTCCTCCCCCCCCCTTCTCTTTCCTCTCCCTCTTATCTCCCGCCCCGCTTAACCCCTTCTCTCTCCTCCCTTCTCCTCTCCCTCATCTCTCTTCTCCTCCTCTGCTCTCCCCCCCCTCTCTTTCCTCTCTCTCTCTCATCTCTCTCCCTCTCTCTCTCTTAACGACTTTCATCACCACACAATAGGGTCACACCTCCTCTCCCACTAGAAGGATGTGTTTTGTTGTTTGAGGGATTTGGACAAGCTAAGGCTTGCCACAAGAAGTCCCAGAGGCTGCGGCCCCTAGGCTAGTGAAATAGTAGTCACAACTCAGACTCAAACCCCGCATTACTCCATGAAATGGATCCGACACAGCGCGTGTGTGGGTTGTACACTACACTGCCATCCATGAATGATGATAGTCACTTCCTGTGAATATTATTTTAATCAGTTAAGGTAGAGAAACACTATTACAAAAGTACAATTTCCATGGTAGTAGTAGTAGTAGTTAGGAAGGTAGTAGTAGTAGTAGTAGTAGTAGTAGTAGTAGTAGTAGTAGTAGTAGTAGTAGTAGTAGTAAGGAAGGTGGTAGTAGTAGTAGTAGTAGTAGTAGTAGTAGTAGTAGTAGTAGTTGTTGTAGTAGTAGTAGTAGTAGTAGTAGCAGTAGTAGTAGTTGTAGTATTAGTAGTAGTAGTAGCAGCAGTAGTAGCTCTGGATAAGAGCGTCTGCTAAATGACTAAAATGTAAATGTAAATGTAGTAGTACTAGTAGTAGTAGTAGCAGTAGTAATAGTAGTAGTAGTAGTAGTAGTAGTAGTAGCAGCAGCAATAATACAACAGCAGTGGTAGTAACAGTAGCAGTATCATCATTCCAGTATTTAATGGGGCTGTGTCAAGGCAGGGTGGTGGTGCTGCTGGATCCATGCTGCCAGCCTCAATGCTTGTAATGCATAGATCAATGTAGCCTTTGGGGAAGGGGAATCGATGGGTGCTGAGTTATTGCAGTACTTGGCCACTGATTTTTAGAGAGCTGTGTTTTCCCAGGAAAGTCAATACCTCCAGGCTCCTCTCATTAATTTCACCCTCCCCTCCTCGAGCTGCACCTGGGGATATACAACCCCTGAGAGAGACTGGAAGTCTGGGGAGGGAGGGAGGAGAGAGGGGGCAGAGAGGGAGGGTATAGAAAGAAAGGGGAAAGAGGGAGGAGATAGAGGTAGAGGTAGCTGGGGAGAAGGCTGAGAGGGAATAGAAGGGGGAGATAGAGGGGAGTGGGTAGAAAGGGAGGGGTAGATGGAGATGTACAGTTGGTAATGAGAGGAAGATGCATGAATAAAAGGAGAAAGATATGTGTTTGAGAGGCCATCACAGTTGTATGTGGATATAATGTGTGAGATATGGATTTCAAGTACTGCACAAGAGAAAGTCCAAGAGGGGCTCAAATTAATGATTCTGAATGGAAAACAAACAATCCAAGAACTGGTCTGTCTGTCTGTTTAGTTATAGGAGAAACCAGTGCATATAATATCTGTCTAGACACCAGATCCAACACATCTCTTTAGTTTCAATATCAAGAAGACTAATATCTCTCCCTCCCTCTCCCTCCCTCCCTCCCTCCCTCCCTCCCTCCCTCCCTCCCTCCTCCCCCTCCCTCCCTCCCTCTCCTTCTCTCTCCCTCTCCCTCTCCCTTCCTACCTCTCTCTCTCTCCCTCTCCCCCTCTCCCTCCCTCCCTCCCCCTCCCTCCCCCTCCCTCCCTCCCTCCCTCCCTCCCTCTCCCTCTCCTTCTCTCTCCCTTCCTACCTCTCTCTCTCTCCCTCTCCCCCTCTCCTTCTCTCTCTCTCTCTCTCTCCCCTCCCTCCATCCCTCCCTCCCTCCCCCCTCTCTCTCTCTCTCTCTCTCTCTTTCTCTGTCTCATAAGTTAATATAGACCCAGCCACATTAGGGCAGTGACAGAGTCAACATAGTCTTGTTTGTCTCTGCATTGTAGATAAGCTGCAATCTTCCTATGCTTCACTGAGTTTCAACACAGAGCTAAATAAATAAATGTGTTGATGAAACCTTTGATATGGCATAACGATGTAAGTACGTCCCTCTTTACAACTCGATTGATTTGCTATGCTACGCTGTTTGATAAAAGAGGGCTATGTTTTTGGGAGGGGACGCACTGAAAGAAGAGCTCACTTGGGCATCTGTAAATTCCCCAGAGGAACTTACATCATTGAGACTGGATGCATTCTCTTTCCTGTTCAATTATACACAAGCTTGCCTATTTAGTATTTAAAAGCTTGCCTCATTTTGCATTCATGAATATAACACAATCCTGGCACAATAAATACGCATTAGAAATGCACACGAACCCATTCCCAATCTTGAAATATGTATGTGTAAATCAGATTAACTGTTGATGTGTGCACAGTATGGGTCTCAATCTGGAGGGAAGAACCAGAGACTTATGAGACTTGTACAATATTATGATGCAGCCACCTGTCTGTGTTCAGCCTGGTCTCATAGACTAGACGTAATATAGTAAATGTAAATCAGGGACACTCAAATTAATCTGATATGTTATGTTTGATGTGGTTACATAAGACAGAAGATTACGTAAGTGGTCGGGATGGATGGGTGGGCGTATAATGCGAACGTCTAGCAACCCAAAGGTTGTGAGTTTGAATCTCATCATGGACAACTTTAGCATTTTAGCTAATTAGCAACTTTTCAACTACTTACTACTTTTTTAGCTACTTTGCAACTACTTCGAATGTTAGCTAACCATTCCCCTAACCTTAACCTTAACCCTTTTAGCTAACCCTTCCCCTAACCTTAACCCTTTAACCTAACTCCTAAACGTAACCCTAACCCCTAATCCTAACACCTAGCCTAGCTAACATTAGCAACATAGCCACATAGCTAGAATTCGTAACGTATCATACATTTAGTAAATTCATAACATATTGTACATTTAGTAAATTCGTAACATATTGTATGTTTAGTAAATTCGTAACATATGATACGAATTGTAATTCGGAACATATCATACCAAATAGGTGATGGACAACCACAAATTAATACATACCATATGAAACGTAATATATCATACTAAATAAGGTTCTCTGATTTACATACAGAATAATACGAAATGCTCTGAGACCAGGTTGCAGCGTTTGGAACAAAGGTACCATTAGGGAAATACAGCTTTGTTGTTTTGCTATCAATCAATGTTTTCATTTTTATTGACTTAAAATATGAATGCTGACAACATTTGAGTACTTCCGTAATGATATAGCACTGTTTTGAAGAAGACAAAAGTTATTCAACTCCTTCCAGTGATTCACAACACGTTTTGCTCTAGAGAACACCTCCCGCGGCCTAATGGACGTACAGAATGAGATAAGAGGGCTCTATTCACCACACAGTTCCATAAAAGCAATGCACTGAACAGTTGTCAGTCATATCACCAAATGGAATCAGATATTAGCATTGCAAAAGGAATCGTAAGCTGGGTCGGACGGCCCATTGTGTAGTTGTCTATTTGCTCCACTAACACTTGCATCAGAACTAAGCAGTGCTTTGAACAAAGAGGGGAGAAGGTTGCAGCGAATACCTATGTTTAACAGAAAGCCTTAACACAGTCCCCTCTTTCATCCGCAACGCAGTGACATTTACTTATCACACTAAACAGCCATCCATCTGACCTTTCTGCTACTTTGAATGGCATCTGGATATTCCGAAGTAATAATCGGGAATAGTGAAGCACTGATTTAAAGGAGCGATACTCCATTCTGGTGGCAGTCACGAACCAGCATAAACGTCTGGACATCAGACAAAGGTTTGACGGATAACCTGGGGAAAAACTCCAGCAATAAGAAGGGTAGAACTCAATGCCCTTGCACATGGGAAAATTTTTTATCACCTTGAAAGGACAGAGGAGATGTGGGAACGTAGCCACCAATATATGTATGGTAATATATAGTATGGAGAACAATAAACCTTATAGGAAGATATGACAGACCCATTTTTTATACTCAATATAATGGTTGAACTATGTAATAATGTTTATAAGCAGTTTATAAACAGACCTTCAGATAAAGTGATACCAAGTGCTTTAAAGGGCAGGAGAGGAGGAAGCAGAGAGATATAGAGAGAGGGTAAAATCAAAGAAAACAATGGGAGGAGGAAGCAGAGAGATATAGAGAGGGGGTAAAAAAGAAAGGAACAGTGATTTTACCAGTGTAGACAAAGCGTCCTGGCGCCCCTTTGCAGAACTGCTTGGATTTGTAGGAGAGTGTGACCTCCACGACCCCTGGGATGTGGCGAGGGGGCGTCTGGACCCGGATGGCGTGGGGGGTGATTAGCTGGAACACATGAACACACACACACACACACACTCATTTAACGCTAAGAGCAGTGCACTGTGGGAGGTATGGTCTATTTACGTTACTTGTCATTTCTTTACAATAAATTGACTTAGTCTTAGTTCGATCTTCAAGGTATATTTACAGCATCATCCACAAGTCTGTCTAGCAAATTCACATTTGATATTTATCTGGAGCAACTTCCAGTTCAGTCAGTACATATGGACAAACAATGGAGCATGGTAAACCCAACCAAATACACACTGATTAAGGCAGTGAGTTTGATAATTAGTTCCATGTGTGTACCGTATGTGTTAGAAATAGAGACTCTGTGGAGTGGAGGTGTCTGCCTGCCTCTAACAGAGCGACCCAGGTGTAGCACTGCGACAGCCCCTGTCATCTCTGAAGCAGGTGTTCCACCCTGGACATATTTCAATATTTTATGAGCTGCCTTATGCACCATGCCATACTCTGAGTTTCTTCACCTAGTCTCCACAGATAAAATCCAGAAATCTACATATTTTCAGGTAAACATTCCATTTTCATGGTCGTGTGTGTGTGGTGTGTGTGTATCTGGACCCACCTCACTCCAGACCAGCATAGTGCCGAAGACCACCTGCAGTCCATCAAAGAAGTTGTCTCCGATGATGATGACAGTGGCTCCCCCCGTCGTCCACCCCTCACTCGGGCTGATGGCTTTGATGCAGGGCGTAGCTGCTTCGGAAACACAGACAGCAGGACGGGTATGACTTCTACTTAAAGGGACTTAATCCTCCAACTTGTTTTACATTTACATTTACATTTTACTCATTTAGCAGACGCTCTTATCCAGAGCGACTTACAGTTAGTGAATACATATTTTTTTATACTGGCCCCCCGTGGGAATCGAACCCACAACCCTGGCGTTGCAAACACCATGCTCTATCAACTGAGCTACATCCCTGCCGGCCATTCCCTCCCCTACCCTGGACGATGCTGGGCTAAGTGTGCGCCGCCCATGAGTCTCCCGGTCGCGGCCGGCTGCGACAGAGCCTGGATTCGAACCAGGATCTCTAGTGGCACAGTTAGCACTGCGATGCAGTGCCTTAGACCACTGCGCCACTCAGGAGACTTTTAAGTACAATCTGGGTTTTCGTTTCAATATCACTTAAACGTATTGCTTTACCATCTTTGGTTTATGAGTACAGTACATAACTATAGACTAAGAGGAAGTTAATGTCACTGTCTGGTTGCAATATGACATATTGTAAGGGTAGCACTAACAAACTACCGACAATTGTTTAATGTGAATTCTCCACACAGATTTCTAATTGCATACGGTCCTGCCGTCTATGATGTCAATTAGTTCACTCATCAAAAATGCACAGTTGTGATTTCTTTCAATTTCAGAGGATCAATAAGCTCAATAGAAACATTACAGTGTGTCCTGCCTGACCAGACTGTATGTAGGCAGAACAAGACGGAGACAGACAGGCTGACTAATTGGTCCTGTCTTCAGGATATCTGGCCAAACAGCCACTGCACTGTAAGAGGGGAAAGAGGCCCGTGATCAAATAAATTCTGTGGCTTGCGGTGGAGGTGGGATACCTTTGCCACAGTCTGTCTGGATTCAATTCAGGGACGAATGCCAATTCAATTGATATTAGAATGAGTGTAATCCTATTTAGGCATACTGGTCCATGGTGTAAAAGGTAGTCATGCTAACTGTGCCCTGGAGTGGTGGAACTATTTAGCCTTTGCAAATGTAAAGATGATCCCAAAAGTGTGTTTTCTTTGTAAGTGTCATGAGGCTTCTCTCTGCCCAGGCAGAGGCGCATGGGAAACAGACCTTTAAAGGGTTAAATGGCAATTGAAACCAGTAGATTAAAGTAAACACAGTGGGCTTCCTCCAATGGGATACTGTATAACAGAGTCTCTCTCACGCTGTTTAACAGTTGTTGAGGGTGTTGTTGGAGTAGAGGTTTTTCCCTGGTAGTCATCTGTCATCGTTATTAATTTCCCTCTGTCACAGCAGTAAATACACAGTCAATCGGGGGACTCTCACAAATGAATAAAACACAATGGCGTAAAACAGACTGTGGAAACTTTGTACATTTATCTAGAAGGGGGGACAGGGACGGTGGAACAAAGACAGGAGCAGATGTTGGCTTTATCGCCTCTGAAAACATCCCAATCTGAGATGAAAGACGGTAAGATTCCCTCAGTGGGGCCTTGACTTCAGTGAGCCTCCTCGCGTCTGCATAGGGAGACAATGGAGCTCTGACTCCTGTCACACAATGGCACTGTACCGTACAGCTCTCCTAGCAGTGCTCTGGTGCTGTCAGTGGTGATCAACCATGGGACTCTCTCACAGTGTTTATATGAATGCCTAAGTACTGTTTATCCAGTGTATCCCAATGTCGTTTTTCAACTCAGGAACTTAGAGAAGTTAGTTTAAACTGTTTCACTGTGCCTAGCTAGCTGCTAGGCCGTGTGGTCGTTAGGCTGGTAGGTTACAAGGGGACAATGTTTTAATATTGTTGGTAAGAACAATAGTACTATTCTTTCTTACAATATGGCACCATGTTACGTCATAACCGCAAACGACGTGGTGAGGTAGATTTTACAATGTGATGCAGGGGTGTTTTTTTTAGGGTCCCCACTTCAATGAGGATGTCATCATCCTTTTCCAGACTTACGGATATGGTTTCATTTAGTCCAATAAAGAGGATGATGTAATTAAAAGCTGGTTGTTCAGTGGGGCAAAATAAAATGGGGCACCATTATTTTCACCTTAGCCAAAGTTTTTAGACATTGGTACACAGGTGGCCAAAGACACCAAGACATATTTAGGTTTTCGAGAAAGTATAATGTTGTCTGTAAGTGTGAGGTAGTTGTACCTTCAGAGGGGTCCAGGCGTCGGGCCCTCCTGCCATGTTTGGAGTTGTTGTGGACAAACATGTTGTCAGAGACAGCGAGGACATGGCCATCCACGTTCACCGTAGTGGAGACCACCACCTGTGGGATAAACAGAGAACCTTTACGATATACTGTTGTTTTCAATTCATGTACCTGGGTTGTGAGCAGAATGAGATAACTTATGTTGTGTGGAACCACAGTGGGAGGTTCAACCATAAATATGGTCTTACCTGAAACCGTCTCATGTCTCGTGGGTTCCCTGCATTTTTCAAACAATTCTGATTGCACTTGAGGAAGAACTTAAGGAAGAATCTGTAAACACAAGAGAAAAATACATATATATTACATTAGAACTCTCATCAAAAGGTTTTATTCAAGCACTGAAAACAGTTGATCACATCTGAATGATGACACATTTCCCAATATGATGCTGGGGGAAAACATTGCTAATACAATTAAATGCAACCATGTTTTAATACGTTGTGGTTGGTCCAAATCAAACAAAGGACATCTCACTCAGTAAATATTTTTAAAATGCTTGAATAAAATCCTGTAAAAAAAGGGTTGGCTTTTGATTTGTCCTTTTTTATTTCCAATCCTTTCTCCCATGTGTTGATTGACCGTTGTTACGGCAACAGAGGGGTATTGATTGGGAATGGATATCAATGAGGATGGGCCGTAATAACCCAGTAGTTGGAGCTAAGACACTCAGCCATACAGTAAGAATGGATTGCCATCTTAATGTATTTCCCACTGCCATGTAATCTCCGCACATCCATCTCCTGGACCATAAGCCCCTTATTTTGATGGAGTGCTTTCTTATTAATTGCCACATTATCACAATAATAATCTGGGCAGTTAACAACCGGCAAGGTCGCAGACAGCCATGTCACATTAACCAAGGGATAACCTCATCCGATGCAGCTGCCCATTTTTTCAGTTGCAAAGGATGCTGGGAGTCTCCTGTAGTGGAGAGCAGCCCTGTCAGAGAGAAATAAATGGTTGCTATCTGAAGAGAGCATCGATTTCTCCCTAATAAGACAGTAACAATATCTTTAAAACACACACAGTGGTAAGCGAAGCAATTTCCTCATTGCTCAATCAAAATATCTAAACCGCCTCGAGTGGCGGTACAGTGTTAAGCAAAGAAAGAGAGAGGGGGTTGTGAATTCAAAAGAGCCCTGTTACATAAAGAATTATGGCCATTCTATTTAGCCGGTATTGACTGAAACTTTATCTTGGGTGCACTGTAGGCTACTAATGTCCTTTATGGCAATGGAATAGAACAACATGGGGAACCCATCCCAAAGCCCAATTCATATGATATTAGAGTCCTTGGGAGGAGAGATATAGATCAATAGGGATTGAATTAAAACGCAGCTGGAGACAAGGGCCTGGCAAGCCAACCAGCCGCGCTGATAATACAACTACACTGTGTTTTTCAATAGAATTAGACCTGAGCAGAGCTCAGCCAAGCAGGCACACCAACTCGCAAAAAAAGTGAGAATCTGGGACATACCCTCTTAGAAGCCCTGGGTAGAGCCAGTTCAGAGTTAAGATTCGCCACAGCTTTCGAAACGACAAGAAAACGGAAGAAAAAAAACAGGAGAACACAAAAAGAGGAATAGAGTGATGAGGGTGAGGTCCGTGGAGGGGGGAGCATGTGATGTTGTCTCGGCAGCCCCGGATCCTCCATCTGCCACTGGGCAGGAGTTGACAAGGAATGTAAAATTCCAGGTCTCTTCATGGAAAAGCGGCACTAGATCAAAGCCTGGTTCCCTTTGGAATGGTTCTGCGATAGCAGCTCGGAAGCAGAGGGGGAAGTAGCTGCTTGTAGAAGCAGAGGGGGAAGTAGCTGCTTGTAGAAGCAGACAAGATGGAAGTTGAATGTTGATCTCAACTTTGAGAAATGGGAACAAGAGAAAGTGGTCCGTTTTTAGGTTGAGCTCTTCCTGTAAACTGTGTTACTTCACAGCTGCACAATGATTTTGTCACTGGAAAGGGTTACCCAAACCTATCAGAAAACTCAACCATTTTACTTCACTTAGATTGTATATAAGAAGTACAATTCTGTACAATTGGAGCAATTTCAATCCCTTGTTTATTTTAGAAATATAATGAGTCGTGGTCAAAAGTTTTGAGAATTACACAAATATTAATTTTCACAACGTTTGCTGCCTCAGTTTTTATGATGGCAATTTGCATATACTCCAGAATGTTATGAAGAGTGATCAGATCAATTGCAATTAATTGCAAAGTCCCTCTTTGCCATGAAAATGAACTTAATCCCCCAAAAACATTTCCACTGCATTTCAGCCCTGCCACAAAAGGACCAGCTGACATCATGTCAGTGATTCTCTCGTTAACACAGGTGAGAGTGTTGACGAGGACAAGGCTGGAGATCACTCTGTCATGCTGATTGAGTTAGAATAACAGACTGGAAGCTTTAAAAGGAGGGTGGTGCTTGAAATCATTGTTCTTCCTCTGTTAACCATGGTTACCTGCAAGGAAACACGTGCCGTCATCATTACTTTGCACAAAAAGGGATTCACAGGCAAGGATATTGCTGCTAGTAAGATTGCACCTAAACCAACCATTTATCGGATCATCAAGAACTTCAAGGAGAGAGGTTGAATTGTTGTGAAGAAGGCTTCAGGGCCAAAAAAGTCCAGCAAGTGCCAGGACCGTCTCCTAAAGTTGATACAGCTGCGGGATCAGAGCACCACCAGTGCAGAGCTTGCTCAGGAATGGCAGCAGGCAGGTGTGAGTGCGTCTGCACACACAGTGAGGCAAATACTTTTTGAGGATGGCCTGGTGTCAAGAAGGGCAGCGAGGAAGCCACTTCTCTCCAGGAAAAACATCAGGGACAGACTGATATTCTGCAAAAGGTACAGGGATTGGACTGCTGAGGACTGGGGTAAAGTCATTTTCTCTGATGAATCCCCTTTCCGATTATTTGGGGCATCCGGAAAACACCTTGTCCGGAGAAGACAAGGTGAGCGCTACCATCAGTCCTGTGTCATGCCAACAGTAAAGCATCCTGAGACCATTCATGTGTGGGGTTGCTTCTCAGCCAAGGGAGTGGGCTCACTCACAATTTTGCCTAAGAACACAGCCATGAATAAAGAATGGTACCAACACATCCTCAGAGAGCAACTTCTCCCAACCATCCAAGAACAGTTTGGTGACTAACAATGCCTTTTCCAGCATGATGGAGCACCTTGCCATAAGGCAAAAGTGATAACTAAGTGACTCGGGGAACAAAACGTCGACATTTTGGCTCCATGGCCAGGAAACTCCCCAGACCTTAATCTCATTGAGAACTTGTGGTTAATCCTCAAGAGGCGGGTGGACAAACAAAAACCCACAAATTCTGACAAACTCCAAGCATTGACTTTGCAAGAATGGGCTGCCATCAGTCAGGATGTGGCCCAGAAGTTAATTGACAGCATGCCAGGGCGGATTGCAGGGGTCTTGAAAAAGAAGGGTCAACACTGCAAATATTGACTCTTTGCATAAACTTAATGTAATTGTCAATAAAAGCCTTTGCTTTAAAAGCCTTGCTTGTAATTATACTTCAGTATACCATAGTAACATCTGACAAAAATATCTAAAAACACTGAAGCAGCAAACTTTGTGAAGACCAATACTTGTGTCATTCTCAAAACTTTTGACCAACGACTGTACACCTGTTCCATTGGCCTATTTTAAGAGTATGAGCATTGAAAAACCTTTTGAAACCAGTGTCATACTTGAGACTTGCAGGGATTATTTTGTGTTAGCTTCCAAATTGGCAGAGAATTTGAATTGACAGTTTATATGAGACATATGATGCTGAGACATCCTTATCTCATCAGGAGAGACTAAAGTCAGTGGAAGAAAATTACTCTCAGGCTTTTGGAAGCTGCACCTCTCAGCACTGGAGCCCATCAACATTTTGACCACGTTTCACCATATATTTCATTTCAAATATTCAATACTATCTTCTACTGTGATCTCTCCAGCTTCAGTCTCTAGGGTATCTGTGACAATCCAATGCACTTACACACCTGATTGGATGTTATTTCAAACCTCCTTTCTCAGATAAATATACACATATAATAATCATTTAGGCTAAATCTAGAGAAGAACAGAAGGGAGGAAAGCCAAGGACTAATTTCTCCTTCTCTGTTCAACCCCTCCCTCCCTCTGTATCGAAAACTTATTAAAACACCATCAATAATTAATGTCCATCTACAGCCAGGGCTTCGTTATTAGTTCCAGGCTGTATTTCCCTGTCCCTCCTCTGCTCTTAAAAAGTAGGTGAATGCGTTGTAAGCCGTCACCTCATTACGCTGCCCTGCAATCAATTACAGGGGGTGTGTGGGCCTGCCAGCCTCTAATGTGGAGCTGTGGCTAGTGGCAGGAATTACTGCTGCTATAGTCCTGCTAGGCTAACCTAGTGTTTCCTTTCCTCTATCTTTTCTCAGTTTAGGCTGAGTCCCCATTCTTCTCAAGGCATCCCTTCCTTGTCTCCTTGTGTCCTTGTCTCCTTTCCTTTGTGACCGCTGATAGGTGAAAGGACTGGATGGGTTTACTACTCCATCTCAGTTTTATTTTTCAAGACCATCTGCCCATAAGATCTTCTGCCTGTAAGACCTTCTGCCCGTAAGACCTTCTGCCCATAAGACCTTCTGCCCGTAAGACCTCCTGCCCATAAGACTTTCTGCCCATAAGACCTTCTGCCCATAAGACCTTCTGCCTGTAAGACCTTCTGCCCGTAAGACCTCCTGCCCATAAGACCTTCTGCCTGTAAGACCTTCTGCCCGTAAGACCTTCTGCCCATAAGACCTTCTGCCCATAAGACCTCCTGCCCATAAGACTTTCTGCCCATAAGACCTTCTGCCCATAAGACCTTCTGCCTGTAAGACCTTCTGCCCGTAAGACCTTCTGCCCATAAGACCTTCTGCCCGTAAGACCTCCTGCCCATAAGACTTTCTGCCCATAAGACCTTCTGCCCATAAGACCTTCTGCCTGTAAGACCTTCTGCCCGTAAGACCTTCTGCCCATAAGACCTTCTGCCCGTAAGACCTCCTGCCCATAAGACCTTCTACCCATAAGACCTTCTGCCCATAAGACCTTCTGCCCAGAATACCTTGTTGAAGTAAGGGAGAGGAGATGTAACTATTGGAACACAGCATGTAGTTAGTCCAAATACAACAGCCTTATGAATAACCTTGGCAACAGAAGCTGAACAAAGTGGCAGCAGGCCACGAAGGGGGGAAATTAATTAAACAAAGAACATAAAGGCCAAGGATCCTAAGAGCCCCTAA